ATTTATAAAATAAAAAAAGTAATAGGGAAGCCAGATACGAAAAAAAGTGAAATTCAGGAGAAAAGCATGCTAAAATGCTGATTAATTTTCATGGGAACTTATTTTATTTTATTTTTTAACTAATGCACAAATGTGGTGAACTGACCTTAAGGCTGGGGGGAAATGAGAAAACCAGAATTGACAGATACATTTTAAGTTCAAGGTGATTTATAGAACATGAAAACCTGATGTATCCATCTGTTGCTTTTTCTTTTAAAAAAGTATCAAATGTAAAGTGAGTTCATACATAACTCACTTCATGGCGTTCATGAAGAAAAGGACATCTCTCCCAATGTTCTGTATTTTCTCTTAAAACAAAGGGGTCACTCTCCTCAAAGTTACATTTTTAATTTTTAATTTTGCTTTCAAGGCACTGCTGAACACATCTGACTCTCCCCCTGGCAATGTGGCAAAGAAAAAGAGAAGACTTAAATATGTGCATCCTTTTTCAATGACTCTTTTTAAGATGTTGCTGGATGGAAGTCATACTGGAGAGTTTTCCTAGGCCCTGATTGTTTATGGTTAGAATCGATTCTTGAGCAACTTCCAATTTTGATTCCAATACCTTGACCTCTACTCTCAGATAGAATATCTGTAATAGCTCTGCATTTGTACACTTTAATGATTACGGTTGCAATCTTGCATACACTGTTTGTGTCTCCTTCTCTTTCTTCAGCATCTGATCAACGTGATCAAGGCTTTATTGCAAACTGGCAGCCTTTATAACACCATAGCAGGGCTGGCCAATGTGCTGCCCTCAGATAGCGATGGGGGAGAAACTCAATTCAGTTAACACCTAAAAGCGAACTTATTGAATTTGCACTTTTCAAGGTATCATGAGAACCAAAACTCAACCTTCCTTTGAAATTCACACTTCTCCAAGTTTCATACAAAAATACATCTGTTAGGGCAAAGTGTTCATAAAAAGGAATATATTAGGACTCAGCTATACAGCTGCAAATATAAATGTTTTACGTGCATTATACAAATGTGATACTAGAGGGTGATGAAAATAACACACTAACATGCATTGCATCAGGGGAAATTGCTTGCAAAAATGTGTACAGCATTTTAGACCTGCCTTGTCTCAGTGCAGCCAATGGCACAGTTTCATAAACAGGTGGGAAAATAAGCTCAGCGAATGGAAATCCCACCAGTTCCTGTGTCAATGAGGATTTCTACTAAAAGCCTTAAACAAAAGCTGTTTACTTTCAAGTCTTAAAAGTCTGCTGCTCACCAGCTGCCTCTTTGACCCAAGGCTTTCCCCCCCCTATTCCAGATGCCAAATTATCTTTCATTGTGATTCCAGTTAGCTTGGTCACCTTCTGAATCTAAAAACATTCTATTTACTGATGGGATATTAGTAGTTTTTAATATATTAAAATGTGCAACAGAAATCTTTTTTGGCCCAGGTGTGTCTCTACACACACACACACACAGTAGTACATTAAGGCAAATTAGTCAGCAAAGGTGAGGAAAAGCTTACTTAAGCTTTTTTCCACCTTTACGCATGTTTACATCTTCCCAGGGATTTGATAGTGCTTCAGCAAAAATGGTGTTAAGTCAGCATTTGCAAGGCTGTGGCTCTCTCTCTCATAAATTTCTGGCACTAGAGAATCCCCATGAACCAGAGGACTGAGCAATAGAAAATCTGAAATTATAGACATTTTGTTTCACTTGTAAAGAGAGCTATGGAAAAGTAAATAAATATAATATTTATTTTCCATATTCCATTATAATTATAAAATGCTGCCCATCTGGGCGACTCCCAACAAAATATCAAAAACACTGTGGGTATGCGTCACTTTACAAAATAATATAAGCAAAGAAAGATAGGTCTCCACCCCCAAGGAACTTCCAATCTAATTTACACAATGGGTAAGACAAGGGGAGGGTAACAAGGGAGTAAAATATGCAAATACAGCTTGAGTCCCACAGGCAGAATGAGGAGTTCTATCTGACACCGTTGTCCCATTTGCACAAAACTTCCACTTACAAAACTGAACTTCCCCTCCCTCTCTTTCCCCTACCAGCACCCCAAATCTGGCCCAGAAATGGGCATTTTCTGCTGTTGCCCCTGCTCTGTGGAATGCGCTTCCCTCTGTGCAACCACCAGTTGCTTCAAGTGATGTCTCCCTCTTGATGTCAGCAATGAAACCGAATAGCTGTGGGGTCTGGGAAATCAGACTGAGCAGAATATAAATATAGACTGATTCACCACCTGAACCAGATCTGACTTCAGCTTGGACTAGGAATAGGTCACGAACACAAGCTATGTACTCAGATACACGTGTAATCTGAGAGGTATTTCTGTGCTCCTTACCTTTAAAATATTAAAAACAGGATCTGACCCATGTTTGTTTGGTAAAGATTAAGAGAGTTAGCATGGCCGAAATCCTCTTTCGCCAATGTATATACAGTGGTACCTCGGGTTAAGTACTTAATTCGTTCCGGAGGTCTGTTCTTAACCTGAAACTGTTCTTAACCTGAAGCACCACTTTAGCTAATGGGGCCTCCTGCTGCCGCTGCAGCACAATTTCTGTTCTCATCCTGAAGCAAAGTTCTTAACCCGAGGTACTATTTCTGGGTTAACGGAGGCTGTAACCTGAAGCGTCTGTAACCTGAAGAATATGTAACCCGAGGTACCACTGTACAGAGAACCTGGAAGCCAATTCAGGGGCTGCTCCCACTGATTTCACAAAGGATACACATGTGTGGTGGATATCTGGGGTGATGGGGAATCAGATGAGCTTGAAAAAAGACCACACCCTGTGTCACACAACAGGAATGTCAGATGTTGACACTCTGACTTAGACACATTTGTGGACTGAAAGAGATTATCATTGTCAAGGACACCTTATGATATTCTGCATATAACTACTCCATAAGCCAGCCTTGAACAACCTGATACTCTCCAGATGTTTTGGACTACAACTCCCATCAGCCACAACAATTCTCATCTAAAACATTTGGAGGGTACCAGATTGGCAAATGCTGCCATAAGCATCAAGTGTTGAACAAAATTTTGCCACACACCAATGCCCAATCACATATTAAAAGTAGAAGTCTTTGTCACCACGAGATAGAATGTTATGCATCACCACTTGCTAAGGTGAACATATGTGTTGGTGCCACACAGTAAATAATCCGATGGGGTGCCCATCTGACAGACATACATACAGAGATCAAGGTACCATATACAGTCCCATGTCATCCCCACATTTTATTCTCACAACAATTCAAATATATAAGATAGGTTGAGACAGGGTGACCAGACCAAAGTCAGACAGTGGGCTTTATATTTGAGTGAAGGTAAGAGATTTGAACCTGGGCCTTCCCAGACTGCCAAGCAAGCTTCCTGATCTCAGAGCAGAGTTTTTCTGATGGTGAAAGGAAGTGGGGTGGTTTCAACTTTTTCCAGGGACATTTTGTCCAGACGTCTACATGAAGCAAATGTAATCTGGTTGAAACCTACAGGGAACCAGGCAGAGGGCCTTCTCGGTAGTGGCACCCGCCCTGTGGAACACCCTCCCACCAGATGTCAACTACCAGACTTTTAGAAGACATCTGAAGGCAGCCCTGTTTAGGGAAGCTTTTAATGTTTGATGCATTACTGTATTTTAATATTTTGTTGGAAGCCGCCCAGAGTGGCTGGGGAAGCCCAGCCAGATGGGCAGGGTACAAATAAATTATTATTATTATTAATTATTATTATTATTGCTAATCACACTCGTGGTTCCATTAGCCATCTCCCCTGAGTCTTCATTTTTTAATGTTTTAATTAATGCTTATTGGAATAACATAATGGTTGTTGTGTAACACTGTCTTAAATTTTATTCCTGAGAACAAGTCATAGAATTGCAAAATCATAGAGTTGGAATGGACCACGAGGGTCAACTAGTCCAACCCCCTTTTCACCCAATGTGGGGCTCCAACCCACAACCCTGAGATTAAGAGTCTCATGCTCTACCAACGGAGCTATCCCAGCTCTTAAGTCATCCTCATAAGAATGATCTCACTGCAAAGAGTCAGTCCTATCTGGAAAATCCAGCTCAGATCACAACTCCATGGATTGGATGGAATGGACAACAAAGGCTCCCGGGTACAGAATGCATGCTTACAACAAATGCAAAAAAGCACATTAAACAAAGCCATGCTCTTATCGTAATATCCAGGCTGTGTTTCACAAATACATCAAGACAGTGAGGAAAGTGCCCTGAAGCATGTCTTTGGCGAGGAAAGTTAATGCCCTCTTCATTAGACCAAACAGATGTGCCTTCACTCTTTGAAAGATTATTTTGCTTATAGTCATCAAGATTGATGATCTGACTGACTCATCACTGCTGCGCAACACATCCTATTCAGCCATCATCTTTCACTTTGCTTTGCTGCCTTTTCAACCTGAAAGGTGTAAAACGGGAACATCTCACAGAGAGGGAGAGAGAAAACACAGGCTTTTAGCACATTGTGGAACTTACCAAACAAGCGTTGATGGAAGAAGAACTTGCCAGCTATCAGTCCGGTAAGGATGGCAAGCAGCCACAGGAACACTTTTAAAAACCTCCAGCCTCCTCCCTCGGGGTATTTGTTGGCTACAAAAGAAAAGCAGTTCCCCACGACAATGACATTTGCTTCGGTTTGGCTGTGAGAGACCGGATCCTCGGCAAATATCAAGAAGTTACAGAAGATCACCAGGTAGGCCACTATCAAGCGGGACCACGGATGCTGGAAGTAGTAGCGGAAGTCTTTGGCCATCCTCAGACCCTTCAGCCCCTGCATGCAAAAAGCAAAGAAGGCATTTGTTCTATTGTGTTACTGGATGTTGCACTATGTTATAGTCTTACAAGGGCTATAACAGAACGTTAGAAGTCAGACTATTGGCCCATCTAGGCCAATTCGTTCAACACTGGCTGGCAGTGACCATGCAAGGTTTCAGACAGGAAGTCTTTTCCAGCCCTACCTGGAAATACCAGAGATTGAACCCAAGACCTTCTGCATGCAAAACGGATGCTCTACCACAGAGCTATGACCCTTCCCACTATACATCACTTCCCCCTGCCACCCCAGCTTCTATCCTCTTTAAACAGGCTCTGGAACTAGCTGCCTGTTTGTGTGACCCTGTTCACCAACTCCAATGGGGGCACACTGGCGAATGCTGACAAGAGTGAATGGAACCCCTTAACTAAAAGCACTTTCATTCACTTAGGCCAGCAGCTTCCCAAACTTGGGTCTCCAGCTGTTTCCCATCATCCCTAGCTAGCAGGACCAGTGATCAGGGATGATGGGATTTGTAGTCCAAAAACAGACCCAAGTTTGGGAAACACCGATTTAGGCAAAGAGCAGCTTTTGCTTCAATTGATAGGGAAGATGGATATGGAATCCACAGAAGCCAGAATTTTCATTCTCATTTAATTGCAGAGGGCTGGACTAGATGAAACCTTCCAACTCCACAATTCTATTATTCTAGCTCTTTCACTTCTTTTCTGGATTAACGGTGGAAGTCCAAAGGAAGTCAGCAGGACTATAGTTCCACTGGAATCAATGGGTCGTAAAATGAGTCACAACTAACCAGTTCTATTGATTTCAATGGGACTTAAACACAACTAACCTACTCTGGATTTGGGGCCCATGTTTACATAAATATGGTGGGAGAGGCTCCAAGGCAATGTAAGCCTCATGCATGCAAATGCTTCAATATTCAACTAATAGAAAAGTTCCGACGAGCACACAGAAGCAGGATTTTCACCCAAGTCAAGACATCTTGCATGTCTACTCAGAACTAAGTCCTGCTGAGATCACATAACTTACTCCAGGGTGTTTATTTAGGCTTGGGTGAGCATAATTGAATACAGTGAATCACGAATATTTTAATTAACTGATGCATTTGTCAATTAAATTTGCATATGAATAAAAGCAATGGGTCTGAAGCAAACAGCAGACTTGCTTTGGTTTTAGAACCTGTGGCCCTCCAAAGATACAACCCTCATCATCCTTAACCTCTGGCCTTACTGATTTGGCCTGATGAAGTCCTGCAACACCTCAGCTGTGCACACCCTCCTGTGTGCTTCGCATCCAGTGTGCTCCCACCACAGGTTTGTGAAGCTGTTAACACACAGTGTTAGCCACAACCTATCCTGTAGTTTCTTGAGAAATGCTGTGTGTTCCCTAAAACAGCTTTGATTCAATTTGAAAACATAGGACATACATGAAGTCATCCATGCCCCCTCTCCATCCACTGGTGAAGACAGACAGAAGGAAACTTGAAAACACATCCAACCATACTAATGTGTAAAATGGTGACCATAGGGTCCCCACTCATGTTTTAATTGATGCATGTGTCATAGATGGAGCGCTGATCATCAACAGGATTTATAGTTACTTGTATTAAAAATAATGGGTTGGATTCAAAGGTGTGCAAGTTGAAGGTGACAAGATCCAACCTATCTATATATCTGTCTGTCTGTATCTCCTGACTAATCCCTGTAATTGAGTGATTTAAAAAGCTATCCTCAATTGCATGTTGCAGACTTACCTAGAAGCAAGCATCTCACTATAGTCTAAGAACAGGTTTTCATGCAAATCACCTTGGACTTCTCTTAATAGCTGCACAGTATACCAGTAAATGAATGACTCAACTGAGATAGACCTTAAGACTGTTGGCATCTGCATTCCTTAGTAACATTCACTTTAAATGAATGCCAGGAGCCAAGGTGACAATATTAGGAATACTCCAGATAGAACCATTCTGGACAGCCCTATTAAAGGTTATACTCACAAGTGAGCAGAATTTACGATGATTTTGGATGCTGAGAAAGCATTTGATAACGTCTCCTGGAATTTTATGCTTAAAGTAATGGGATGTGGGGACACTTGTATAAGGGGAGTGAAGGTGTTATATACAGATCAATCAACAAAATTGATGGTGAGTAATTTATTGACGGAAAATTGTAAAATAACCAAGGGAACAAGACAAGGCTGCCAGCTATCACTCTTATTGTTCATAGCAGTTTTAGAAGTATTGGCACAAAAAATAAGAACTAATCAACAAATTAAAGGAATAAAAGTGGGACAAAGAGAATACAAACTTAAGGTATTTTGAGATGATGTGATGATATCAGAAGAAGATCCAATAGAATCAACCCCAAAGGGACTCGATGAAATAAATAATTTTGGAGAAGTAGTGGGTCTCAAAATCAACAAGAATAAAACCAAATTGTTGGCTAAGAATTTAAAAGATGATGTTAAGAATGAATTACAAGAAATATCTGAGTGGAGATCTTGGGAATCAGAGTGCTAGTTCTTCCTCCACTCCACAAATCACTGTCCCACATGCCCTCCACAAATTGACGGTGTGGAGGGCAATCCGCAGCTGAGTACATGGAGGTTCCCACCCATTTGTGTACTTCTCCCTCTATTGTTAACCTCTTCTTGATCCATTGTTCTTAGCTGAAGAAATAACACTGCTTGCATGTAGCTTAGGAGTAGGGGGCGTGTTGTGGGAAGGCTGCTCCTCAGACATCCAAACTGGAGTCTCAGCTTTCCTGGATGAGGGCTTGAGCCGGAAAGTAATATAAGAAGAATATTCACAGCACTGAATCCAACCCTGAATGCTGAGCCAAGGCTGACAGGCAGGGCTGTTTTTCAGCTGGAACTCATCAGAACTGAGTTCTAGCACCTCTCAGGTACTTTCCGGCACCTCTTGGGTGGGCGCCACTGCCATTCTAAGATTCTAAGAGAAGGAGGGAGGTGCTCATGGCGAGCTCTGGCACCTCTTTTTCTAGAAAAATAGCACTAGTTACAGGGGAATAGAGACCACTGCTGTGCACTAGTTTGAAAATGTAGCTGCTGCTTTAAATGATGTCATCGAAAGATAAGGTAAAGGTAAAGGGACCCCTGACCATTAGGTCCAGTCGTGGCCGACTCTGGGGTTGCGGCGCTCATATCGCTTTATTGGCCGAGGGAGCCGGTGTTCAGCTTCCAGGTCATGTGGCCAGCATGACTAAACAGCTTCTGGTGAACCAGAGCTGCGCACGGAAACGCCGCTTACCTTCCCGTCAGAGTGGTACCTATTTATCTACTTGCACTTTGACGTGCTTTCAAACTGCTAGGTTGGCAGGAGCTGGGACTGAGCAACGGGAGCTCACCCCGTCATGGGGATTCGAACCGCCGACCTTCTGATCGGCAAGTCCTAGGCTCTGTGGTTTAACCCACAGCGCCACCCGAGTCATTGAAAGATGGTGTGTACCAATGCAAAAACCCTGGGTATAAACCACTCCCATGTGTTTCAAATGTTATGTGTGTACACAGCCTCTGTGAGCTGAGCAAGCTTCCAGCTCCCCCTTCTCCTTTCTTTTATTTACCCATGGGTAAAATGCTTGAATTGGGATAAAGGATATGCCTTATGCCAAAGAGGCTTTTCCTCCTTAGAAGAGGCACACATTTAAATTTATAGGTGGCTTTTAAGCCACAAGGGCCCTCATAACAGCTTACCATAAAATAATAACAGACCATAAAACCATCAAAAAGCAACTCATAAAAGAAAATGCAAAGACAGAGCAACAGCTCCATCCCAAATTAAAAGAAAGGGGCAAGCTCAGTTTTCAAGAAGGTTTGATGGAATGTGTCATGTGTGTGTGTGTATGCAGTCTGACTTTTGCCACTCAGAAAGCACTGTCTACATAGAAGTGGCCCATCAAGACAGAGGAAGCTGGGACCTCCTTGCAACTATGGGGCCACTGGGCAACTGTTTGGAACAGTGGAAAACCCTGGAACATCGCAGAACTTCAGGGCTTTCCTCTGCTGCACAATGTGGAGCTCTGCAAGTTAAAGGTAAAGGACCCCTGGACTGTTAAGTCCAATCAAAGGTGACTATAGGGTTGCAGCACTCATCTCACTTTCAGGCTGAGGGAGCCGGTGTTTGTCCACAAACAACTTTCCAGGTCATATGACCAGCATGACTAAACCGCTACTGGTGCAACAGAACACCGTGACAGAAACCAGAGTGCACAGAAATGCCATTTACCTTCCCGCCACAGCGGTACCCATTTATCTACTTCCATTGGCATGCTTTCAAACTGCTGGGTTGGCAGGAGCTGGTACAGAGCAACGACAGCTCACCCTGTCGTGGGGATTCGAACCGCCAACCTTCCAATCAGCAAGCCCAAGAGGCTCAATGGTTTCACTTTGCAAGTAAAGACCAGCAGGGATGGATGGAGGGATGCCTCTACCCAATCCCTATCCCCTGTTGGTTTGCACCCTTAGGCAAGTATAGGACTGTGCTGTGCATTGTTTTAACTTTTACAATCCCTACATTTCTTCTAAGGTTGTTAGCTGTCTTGAGTTCCACTTTAGAGTGGAAAGGGATGGTGTGGTTTTTTAAAAAATAAAGATATACACTGAGCACCATGCATGACAGCTACACATGCAGCAATATAAAATTTTTGTTCCTCCCGTCTAGTACTGTTCATGCATCACGTCAGACAGCTTAAGGGGGGGGGGCCCCACCAGGGCAGCATCACTGAGCGCACATGTGCCTGCAGAGGTCTTTCTTGGCACTCCTGGGGTCTCTCTGTCCCTCCCCAGCCACTGAAATATGGCTTGAAAGAATCATTCTGCTGTTGCGAATATCAAAGGTCCTGGTGTGCTATGCTCTTCCTCCATGGCTAGAGGCAGTAATGCTTTTGAAAACCAGTTGTTGGAAACCGCAGGAGGGCAAGAGTGCTCTTGGGCTCAAATCCTGCTTGCAAATTTTCCCCGGGGTATCAGGATGGCCACTGTGAGAACAAGAAGCTGGATTAAATAGGCCATTGGCCTGATCCTGCAGGCTCATTTTAGGTTCTTCTGTGTGTGCTCGGTAGCTGAGTGGTTGTGGGGCCCACAATAGCTCCTCTGGGTTATAAATGGGCACACAGGCCATTTACAATTTACATTCACAATTCAAATAAAATACAAAAAACAAGTGATATGAATACATATATATATATACAAGTATCATAAGTTGTATGCATCTATATGCACTATTACCGGAGAAGAAGTG